CGCGTATTTTGCACTGAATGCGGACCCGGAAAACTTCAAGGAAAGCTTATTTTGCCATTTTCATGCACGTAAAAGTCCTCACAGCGAGAAGGTTCCGAAAGATAAAAAACTGGAAGACGAAATTCTGCCGAACCGCTGCTCTTAAGAGCTTGATGATTCTGCAATATCTGCAAGTGCAATCTCGATTTTATTTGAGGCCTATATTGCTTCTCGAGATCCCCGCTTATCTTTATTTGCTAGCCTACGTAAACGCATCGCGGATCTCTCCCCCTCCGCTCCCCCCTTCCGGGTAAGAGAACGGGATAGAAAACTTGCCTTGCAGCCCAGACTAAGCAAAGTGGATTCTTGATTCTTAAATCAGCATTTGGGGTTTCATTTCCCGAATGCATATGTAGCAAGCAAAAAAAATTTTTTTATTTGCGGAGAGAGTGGTACATCAGCAATATGCCCGATTACGCTTTTCTTGGTAAATCTTTTGAATAGCTTGCTGCGCTTGAGGCGTGTTTCATTGTAAAAGTGAGTCAAAATGTCTCTGCCCCAAATAATCCAATAATTTCTGTTTTTGAACTCACGTCATTCGTTCGTGACCTATGAGTCCCGGGGGATTAGGAAGAAGCACTTTCTGCTTTGTGCTTCCGATTAACCTTTGCTTACAGATAGCAAATGGCCTAATTGGAAGTGTAGAACGTGGACCGTTGTCTGCAGCTGGTTGTCCTTTGATCATACGCTGTAAACACTTTCAGGTGGGCATAATCTATCTCGCTGGGTTCGAAAAGATGTTCTCATATATTTTTCTTTCAGGTGATCAATCTACTTATATCCAGAGACAAAATCTGTCAAGATCTCTATGAAACGTTATTAAGATGTTCGAAAACGGGTGAGATTCGTAATGTTAGCTGTCTGGCTGTCACTAATTGGCTCCGATTCAGTTAACGTCTGCGAATTGGTAGCTTTCGAAAACAGAGACGTGGCTGAAGATGCACGAGGTTGGTCACGCCTCGACTGGGCAGTGGAATTTACCCGGCAGGGTATAGATAGTGAATGGGGTGAAAATGATCTCAATAAAGCATATCGTGTGAGTTTATATACTTTTTACAAGTGGTTTTGTTATTTGTCTCTGTTTCGACTTCTTTTGAGTCATTCTATCACTAACTAATTCATTGTAAGTTTTCGTATTCGGGATTTTTCAGTTTTCCGATTTGTTTAGCCATATAAACGTGAATTAGTACGGGCTGCAAATTTATTTCTAGATTCATTTTTGTTTTATGTACCTCGTCTTTGCAAGAAATATGTCACATATTGAGCTTAAAAATGTTTTTCATGATTCTTGCGTTGTTTTTGGATTGGTTTTCCCATTCACTGATTTTTCAGAGTTGCGACACATACCCGGAGCGATTATGGTTGCCGGTGGCGGCTAGTACCACTACTCTAATGGGCTCGTGTCGATTTCGATCTCGAGGACGATTACCGGTGTTAACTTATTTTTACAAACCTAATGGTGCAGCTATTTGCAGGTGAGGGAACTTTTTAAGATTCTTTGCGCAATATCAGTCCAATCTCTTTTCAGATGTGCCCAACCACTGACTGGCTTCTCAGCTCGGTGTGTAGAAGACGAGAAACTTATGGAGTTAATAGGAAAAGCGAATAAGAATTGCGACACACTGTTTCTTGTTGATACTCGGCCCATGGTTAGTGCTGTTTGGTCTCGTTTCTATTGAAGTTATCAGATCAGTAGATTTATAATACGTTCCAGGTGAATGCTATGGTGAACAGAGTACAAGGAAAGGGATATGAAGATGAACGAAACTACTCAAATACAAGATTTCACTTCTTTGATATTGAAAATATTCATGTCATGAGAGCAAGCCAGCAGAAGCTTCTTGAAGGTCTGCGCTTAGATATATCTCTAATATAGTCCTTATTGATGTATTTTAGCTTGTTATAAATGCCGAACGATGAGCGAATATTTACGAACGCTAGAATCTTCTGGATGGTTGAAACATTTGAGAGCAATCGTGGACTGTGGAACGTTCTTGGCTGAGTCGATATCGAGAGGTATGCGAACTTAATTTAGGCCGGTTCGGTAAATTACCACTTTGGTTATCGTTGTAGGACCACTTTTTTCTTATCTTGTTTATCTTAAAATCAGTGGGGAGATTGAGTAACTCTGGTCATCGCCCCGCCTTTTTTGGGTTTTCGCAGGCCATTGCTTTCTCCCACTTTTTTTTTGCTGAATTTACCTACACTTGTTTGAAAACCGAAGTCTCTGTAAACTTCTTTTGTGGTGATTTAAAGGCTCATCTCGTGGCGCGCCCAGTTTGGAAGGCTGCCAAAGCTTGTTTATTCCCAAGGCACTTATATTTTTACGACCACATAAAGCCTGTGACACTCTGACATTGAAGTAGTCTATATGTGGCGTCAATGAGTTGTTATGCCGCAGGGTTCTGCTATTACATATGAATGAAAGTGGAGGGGGAGGGAGGTATAAGTGGAGCTGGATATAAATGGATATCCAGTGCAAAAGCGGAAAATGATTGATCACGGTTCAGTTATATCCTTTGTTTCAACCAGATAGGCGGCTGGGAGGCGG